AAATCGTAACGTGACAAACGCTTACGTTGAGTCACTTGTATGTCAAGGTTCTTCTGTACACTATCGTTCAAGAAAAATACGTTGTGTTTCCAAATGCTACGATAGCAATCGTGTGAATTTTGAGGTTCCACTGCACATGAGGGTTTACAGATGATCAGTAGATTATGGAATACATCATCACGTGGTACCGCCGTACTTGCTGCTTTATATTTGATCGTTTTGTATATTTTTTTAGGGCGGGGGGGAAAGAATAGTTTTCATACAAATACTGTATTTCCTGTAAATCTGACTTAACTGCTATATTAGCGTAGATTATTGATTGACTGGCAATTTCCAACAAATTCATCTTCCACCGCCAGCACGGAAACGAAACTCCCTTGTAAACCAAGGACCTCAACTGTTTCCTGTTTGCATGAACAAAATACAACAAAAAACGACATTCAAACGATTTTAGGCTTAAAGAAGCTCCGTCTGCAGCGTGAGATGATCAAAACAAGTAGAAAATAGCATGCTAGCATCTGGAATGGTTGAGATGGTCTATCACCAGGAAGGGCAAAAACAAAAAAGTAAATCATTTCTGCCTCGCAGACAAGAGCACCGACTAATATTTGCCCACAGCCAGAGAAGAAAAAGTCTATTTTTTTGTATTTTTTTTTTTTTTTTAAGGATGTGGCTCCTAACCCGCCTTCACCACCGTGCATGCTGATGCCTGAAGGTGACTCTTTGGTAGCGGGTGACAAAGCTGCTGCCACGTATAAATGTCTCCAACTTTGTCATCCATCGAAAATGCATACGGACGTCACAAAATGACATCATGCTCCTCCAACGACGCTCTGCAAATGTCCTTGATTCATGCTCATGGGAACACGCATGCATGCTGTCCCTGTGTTTCAATTGGCATGCCCATTGTGACTCTCCGGAGTGATGTGTAACATTTCCCCCCGTCTTTATGCAGATCGAGCAAACGCGTCATCGCTTGGCGTCGCAAATCGTAACCAAGGTAGGCTTCGAGGCTTTGTGACTTCAGCATGCTGATGAATAGAAAAAAAAAAAAAAAAGCAACGCCGCCTTGCCTGTAACATCGCCTATCTCCGTATCTGAGGGCGGAAAATTACCAGATCAACGTCACGGTGCCCTTATTCTCCAAATGGGACCAACTTCGAAAGGGTGGCCTGGCAATTTTCCGCTTTCGACGGTACTGTCGGACCAGGACCGTGAGGTCGACTTCCCCCTCGTAGTTCAAAAAATAAGGTTTGAAGCTTGGTTTAAGATTTCAAACATGGGTGGGTGTTTAAAGTATGTTTTCAAGACCGGTATAAGATCTTAATCATAGGTTACGGTTTCTAATTAGGGTTTAAAGCCATGGTTAGGGTTTCAAGCCAGGGTTTTAAACATGGGTTTGGCTTTCACAGTTGAGATTTAGGGCTGGGTAAAAGCTTCCAACCAGGGTTAGGGTTTGAAAGTAGGGTTTCAAGCCAGGATTAGGGTTTAAAAAAAAAAGAGGTTAAGATTTTAAATTTAGATTTAAAACTTTAAATGTGGACATCTTCTCCCATGAAAAGCAATGAATCGTTCAACAAACAAGTAGCGCTGTTGTTTGCCTTTGAACGCTGTTGGCCGGTGGCTGTCATGTCTCACTGCACGGGGGGCGCGGAGACGGCGGGGGCGCCGTCAATAATCAACGTCGGTCCCGGCAGTCGTGATGAACGGCGACGCATTCACGTTAATATGATAACGGGAGAGGCGCGGCCGACAGCGCGGGGTTTCGGCTTACCCTGACATCATGGCGAACGTTATCGATCCGACGTCATTGAGGCAAACGGCATCCAATTAGAAGATCCTGTATCTGAAAACTGTCTCGCATTATTTACTTGCACAGGGGGGCATCTACAGCTTACCGACGGGTGGGGGGGACATTTGGAATTATTGATGTGTTGCTCGTAATCTTTTTAGTCCTAAGTAAACGTATTATCGCTAGCAATGGGCTTAATCAGCCATTTGTTGGAAGGGATTCCGTCAATAGTCGCGTCTGAAAGCAGTCCAGGCAAAATGGAGCACACCTTTGTGCTGATAAACGGGGGGGTCTGAAAGTTTTTATGATGGAATTCCCTTCTAATTCCATTCCACGAACGGCAGCGGCATAAGCCGAAATCAGGAAGACGAGATTTTCATATTTCCTTGACACTAATTACTACTTTCCTTTTGGCGTCATTTTACGCCAAGGGCATTTAAAAAAAAAAAAAAAAAAGCACAAAAAATGTGAAGAAGTGCGATTGTGAATAGCGAACCACTGGTCACAATAGTACCTCACGCATTCATGTTCCAAAAACTGAAAAGCTAATTTTGACAGGTGATACCTTCCAAAAAAGATTTGCCAAAAACAATGTCCGGTCTTCAAAAAAATAAAAAATAAAAAAATAATCCAAATGATCAAAACATGCAAGTTTACGACCTTTGTAAATGGCTTTTGTCAAGGGATCTCCCTTGACAAAAGCCATTTTATTTGTTCAGTTCACAAAAAGCGGAGGAGTGGACCACCTTATAGTGCACAAAAAAAAAAAAAGTGATTATGCCGTGGTGGCTATCCAATTACTTGGAAATATCTGGGTAAATATGACCTCTTCTCGGATTTGCGCTTCTGCCAACACTGAGGCTGCTCGACAATCATGGACTTGCGAGTTGTTTTGCTGCAGAATGGTGAATCTTAGCCTCGGTACTCCTCATCTCTCAGTCAACGCTGGAAATTTGTATTAGCATCGGATTTAAGGCCAAATACCCGGTACCTGCACTCAAGTAGATTTTTCTGTCTGTACTTGAGTATTTGTTTTTGTCAACTTTTTACTTTTACTCCCTGCATTTGAAAACAGATATCTGCACCTCTTCCTCCTTACTTTGTCAAGATCGAATATTTGAGTCTCTGGGAACCGATATGGCAGAGAAACCAGGGACAGCATTGACATGTAAAAAAAAAAAAAAAAAAAAAAGACATTTGCCACAACAGCGATAAATTCAGAGTTTAGATTTCAGATGGCCTTTTTAAAGAGAATTGTTTAATGTTGTCGTCAACAAGAATGACTGACTGGTGGTGATTGCCATGTCTTTTGTCAGTCTAAAAAAAACTGCAGCTTTTGGTGTTGAAAAAGTGTATTTTTTCTGATTTTGCTTTTTTTTTTTTTTTATTCATCACTTCACTACGTTAGCAAAGATCTGGAAAACAAGATTGAATCGCATGAAGGTCGAGCTCAAGCTAGCTAGGTAGTGCTGAAAGAACGAAATGCAGCATTTAACATTTTTGTTGAATGTAGAACTATGCGAGTGAGATAATTGCGTTTTGTGCATGTTTTTTTCTTTCCAAAATGGTGATGATTTTTTTTTTTTGTTGTTATCTGTACTTCTGTTCAAGTGCAGAGTGTGAGTATTTTCCCCACTTCTGATTAAAAGGCAGACGTTTTCGGGGGGGGGGCTTGTTCCAAATTCGTATCCATTGTCTTCCCCACCGCCCAAAATGAACACAGCGGCCCGCCTCACAATACACACGCAGCTTGATTCATTAATTTGACCTCATGGCTTGCCCGGCTTTGCCCCTCTTTTGTCTTGCTGGGGTTTATTTGTTCCCGCTTTCCCAACTCTAAAAATGTCTCGTAAAAGTCCTTGTCCCGACCTCCCTCGAGAGCTGGGGTGACTCAAGACGAGACGAGAAGAGGCAGCTCGTGGCCCTGCGGAGCCTCCTGTTGACACGTTCCCGACTGATGCGCCCTATTTTTACTTTTTTTTTTTTTGTGTGTGTGTCCGCAGCGCGCGTGTGTGACAACGCTATGCTACGCTGTCAGAACGGTGGCACGTGCCACCACCACCAGCGTTGCCACTGCTCCCCGGGCTTCACCGGTGTCCTATGCGAGAGGGCCCGCTGCCAGGGCCCCGGCGAGTGTGACAACCAACTGTCGGGACGGGCCACCCGCCGCCATCTCGCCACTCAGCGTTTTGCCCTCGCCTCGCTGTTGCTGATTGTTTCTCTTTGCTGAGTTACCAAAACCCCTAAAAAAAAATAAAATAAAATCAAATAAAAAAGGACATGGACGCAACGAGGCGGACCTCTGGACGGGGTGGACCTCCTCAGCGACCTCGCGGATCTTTTATACGCGTCAGGACGGCATCTCGGAGTAGTACGCTAGATGGACTGATGAAACGTCACTGCTGTCTTGTAATCTCACGCAGGAAACAACTGTTATATGGTGTGATTTGCAGATCGTTTGTCGGACCTACCTGCAAACTGTATAAAGCTACACATGTTCTTAGAAATATCAGAAAGAATCCCGCATTGGGGTGTCAACCGTCGATATTTTCCCCAAGTGCACCGTTGACGAAAATGTACAAATCTTGACCTTATGGAGATTTCATAACCCTTTCACGAGCTGGCGTCAGTGCCTCAGCTAAAATACGGACTTCCTTTTTAGGATAGACCAGTCCGATGAGCGACGACAAATAGAGGGGATGGCGTGTCAGAAACGTTCTCGGACCGGTGTTTCAAATGATAGCGTTCAAATCAGATTTGTTATACTGAAAGCGATCGTTGTCATCAGAGGGACACGTTTGGATAACGTCAAGATTTCCGTGACGACGGAGCAGCGGAGGATAGCTGACTGCAGGCGGTGCCGCCAGTCCTGGAACCTTTCTGACGCACCTTGTATGCCTGTCATCACAACAGACAATGAATGACCACCTGCCCAAAAATTCCAAAGCCTTTCCTTCCGCTGTACATAGTCGACAACCACGACAACATGCAACACAATTTGAATGGGTATGGAGCAGACCCTAAAATGCCTTTCAGACTTTGGCAGGAATACCGATTCAATCCAGAAAAGGAGCCACAGCAAAGAACCAGACAGAAGTTGTTGAAAGAGGAAAAACAAAATAAATTACTGTATTTTCCACACTAAAAGGCGCACTGGATTATGAGGCACACCTTCATTGAACGGCCTATTTTGTCTTTTTTTTTTTTTCCTACACTGGGCGGATCCGCATTATAAGACGCAATCTACAATGCATCCACTAGATGGAGCTACGCTCAAGGAAACACGACAGAACGATCAGATGTCAGTAAAACTTATTTAATAAAGCAGCGACACAGTTCACTTCACCAACAGCAAGTTATAACATTGACTCGTTCACGTTGAACTTTCTTGCCGCTGCTCTATTTCCGTGTTCAACTGCGTAACCGATCGCCTTAATTTTGAACTCTGCGTTGTCAGCATGTCTCAAATAAGGAGCCATTTTGTGGTCGAAATATTACCGTAATGACCATACACAAGGCGCATCGGATTTTAAGGCGCGCTGTGAGCTTTTAAGAAAATGGAAGGCTTTTAGGTGCGCCTTTTAGTGCGGGAAATACGGTAAGCACTTGCTCTTTGGGTTTTCTTTTAGACAGAGGCTCCTGGTACAAACTCTCAACAGCCAATTTACAGCAAGAATCCAGCAATCTCCGGTCGTTTTGTAAATAGAAACCCCTTTCACGCCATTTCCTCAGCAAATTGGCAGAAGACTATAGCGGGACAGCTCGCCCAAGCGAGACATCGCCGTGTCCGCAGTGAGCGTTCGTGCAGCTCTCACGCATTCAGATACGGCCATTCAATGTCAGCACCAGTGTCTGGGAACGACCGTAATTGCTTTCGACGTAAAAGGGCGCCGTGGGCAGTCGTGTTCAACTTAACACTCCGGTCGTGGCGTCCTACTATCACTTTACACACTGGTGGCATTCCACCTCCGTGAGGGCTCCGATAATAAGTCGTATGGCGGTAAATTCACGGGGCGACTTCAACCCGCCATTCTAAATCGATATGTTTACACATACGGGATAGAGAACCACGACAAAGACAGCTAAGATGGCAAGGTTGAAAGGGGGCGCGAGACAACTGCAGACTGGACTTTCTTGTCTTTGCACAACTGGTGTCATTCATATTTTGATATAACGTCAGAAGATTGCAAGTTTGTAGGTCGATCGGCCCTTCCGACATCGCTACCTTACACACACAGGACAGTGAAACTAGGAAAAAAAAAAGTCCTGGCTTAAGATGAGAAGTAGAGGGTGACATATGGGCTCTATATTGGTGACAAGAAAAAAAAAAAGCCACTCTGGTTTTGCTTTCTGCCTCGGGAGACTTCCACACTGCTTTTGTGGTTAATTGTCACATCGCCGGCGTAGCAGAGTCGTCATTTTATCGCCTGCGCCTTTCCAGTGACACTTGCGTTCAACACAAAAGGGTGAAAGGCAGCGAGTCTCGGATGTGGAGCTTCACACTGGTTGCGGGTCGGGGGAAAAAGCCGAGGCATCGATGGCCTGTGAGAAAGAGTTGAGTGATGCATCGATGAAATTCTATTGGTGTCCTAAAACCAACCCAGATTGACGTAATCTGGGTTGTTTCTCTGCCAACGTGAAGCCAAACGCTGAACTCAACTCTTCCTAAAAGCCGTACCCCCACCAGCCCCGGCACCAGCTTGGCATGAAAAGGGTACACCGGATCCGACTGACTGCAAAATGCATCTTGCATTATCTGCTGGCATCTCCACGTGTTGTCTGGCAAGACGATTTCATGCTAGCGTATGTTTTGGATTAGTGCTGCACTTCCACCGAGCGTTGAAATGGTATGACGTGTGTAAATCGGAAGAAGCTATTCGATGTCTATCATTTTCCGGAGCTGTGATTGAGACTTTGTGGGGAAAATCCGAAGGCTGGAGAGTCAACTATGGGAACTAAATATGTGGACAAAGACATCTTCAAACGCATTGCCTCACTTGCTTCCTTACCTTTCTTGTTCTCGTCACTCCTTTGCCTTCCCTTCTGTGCTTCTGGTGACTCTGGTGATATTACCCCCCCCCCCTCCCGCCCACTTGTTTTGCCAAATGCTGCACATGTGCTACAATGGAGACCATCGAATAAATCTATAAAATCGCTTCGTATTCATGTCAGAGTGCGGGGCTGGGTGAAGAAGTTGTATCATAAAATAAATAAGTGTATTTAATTTTTGTACAAAAAAACAAAACAACTTATTTTCATGAATTTGCCAAGATGTGTTGCTTGTTTTCTATTGCGGCAGGCAGACGGATGTGGACTGCGTTAACGAGTTTGGTTGTATCGTTTGTTTGCTTATGTGCGCACACACAGTTCTCTTTAAAAAAAGAAAAGAAAAGAAAATGTTTACACACTTCCAGAATACACTTCTGCCAAAGGGGAAAAAGGAAAAACTGTCTTGTCTTGTTGTTGAACGTTGAGAGTGTCGTCATGTGTGTGCGAACCAACCGGTAAGTGTTTGGTATTTCAAAGCTGCGTTGGTACATAGCGATGAATCAAGCGCACTCCCATTTCGTGAGCCATCCCAATTGGACATCAAAACTCACACAATGCAGCATTTTATTCGTCTGTGGCAAGCTAGCAAAGCTAACATAGCGGTCGACATCTTCACTCGGTGCTCCTTTTTGCTCAACGGCACAAACACATTCAAATGCAGACTCGAATGTAGACACCTGTCACAGAAGAGCCAAATCAAATCCTCTGTTCACAAAAAAGCCGTTCAGTACTAGCTCTGACCGAGAGTCCGATCAAGCTAACGAGAATCACAACAAAAACTGTTCATGGGTACCGACCAAAAAAAAAACGGCATAAAAATGGACTGACAGGTCACAGAAGAACCAGAACCGAGTCATTTGTTCACAAAAAGCCGGTCAATATCAGGAACGACTGATCATCCTATCAAGTCAAAATAACTTCCACCGCGTTCAGCGTCACGATGAAGCTAGCTGAAAATGAGTTTTTGGAACGGTGCGCTGATGTCTCTCAAATGTGTTTCATGGAAGTTTCGCGTCAGCTCCAAAATTTGAGCTTGAAAGCGTTCGATGATGTCGGCTCATGTTAATATGCGAGCCAAGAAGGACCTCCAGTGCAAAAGACGATTGGTCAGTGGTGAGTTCCCAGCTGGGAATCACGACTAATCCTTGAATCAAAATGGGAGAAGGGGAGGGAAGTCGGAAAAGACGGCGCCCCGCTGCGGGAGCCTTCATGTCGGCGATGCGCCGAGGGAAAATTAGCTTGAATTCAAGGAGGGTCAATGAATAAAAATGAAGTCGCATCCCACCGGGTGGCATATTGAGTGCTGAGACCAATCTTATTTGAGAGATTAATTTGCCTCCCGAGGGTTGTCGCGAAACACCTTTCTGTGCTTGAGTCGACTGTAAGTGCCTCTCATTAAATCGTCCTGTCGGCAAAAATGGAGAACGGCTGTTTTTGGAATTGTAAAATAATAATAATTGTGAGGTGCCAATTTTTTTTTGGGGGTGGGGGGGGTAGGGTCAAGGGGGGCATTTAAAGCTGAGCAGGATCGGATATTAATTCAGTGAAGCGTTTTATGTTGCTTGAGACAGGAGCGTCATTTGCATTGTTTTAATTTGCGTTGGAATATATTAAAAAAAAAAAGTGTAGCAGTAACTTGGTAAGTCCTTGAAAAGTTGAATGTTCTCAGAGTACAGATGTACAAACTCTTTGCATTTTTGCATAAATAAAACCACTGTCATGTGTCAAAGTTCTAAAGACAGGTTTCGGAGGTTTTTTTTTAATTTCGTGACTTCATCATGATCCAAAATAACAAATGAAAAGCATTGTCGGAAACCTTTTTATTTTTCAGTTGAAAAAAACAATAGCACAAAATCTCTTTGCCTGGCATCGGTCAGTTAAGTGGTGATATTGGAAAGCAGGAGTCATCAAATTTTTTGAAACTGAGTTTTTTTCTCAGGTGCGATTGCTCCCAATTTGCTCCAATTACCTTTCGTGTTATTATTACATGACAATATCAAGAATAAATGAAAACACCAATCATGGTGATGAGTTCTCACAATGAATCAGAGAGAGATCATTACAATGCAATACTTTATTTCTATATATTAGTCCACATTTTTTGTCCTAATTTGGGCACTTGTGTAACAAATGGCCACAAAAAACAACAAAAAAAAAAGGCTAAAGGTGGGAATGTACACGAGAAATCTGGGTTTAAAAGTCCCA